TAAACATTTATTATGCTCTTTATGACCTTAAAACATCTGCAAGATTCCAGAGCATTCGGTTTTGTAGTTCCTGATTAAATCAATAAAATATATTTACGCATTCATTAATTTTTTTGAGTCACCCTGTATATGCAAATCCAAAAAATATTAATGGAGTGATAGTTCACAAGTACAGACTCATCATATTTTGTACATTTTAGATATGATTTATTCCACAAACTTTTGAGCTGACGTCATCAAGTTTTTGGAGGGGATAAGCAAATATTTTTTGACTAAAGATTTATGATGCTCTTTATAGCCTTAAAACATCTGCAACATTTCAAAGCATTCTGGTTAGCAGATTAAAAATTAAATTTCAAAATGTTGTTTTATAATTTTGATTTTTTTTCCAAAAATCTGGACGTTTCGGGTGAAAAGTCGATTCAGAGTTGTAAACTACATGTGTAGGACTATGTTATTTTATACAATTGAAAACCCATTTACTATGTACAATTTTGAAGTGACGTCATCGCTTTAGTGGTGGGGATGATTCGACAAATTTTGGTTAGCGTTTTACCATCTACATGATATTCTTAATATAAGTACAAAATTTCACAACAATCGGTCGAGTACTTTCGGAGATTATCTGTCTAATAAAAATCCGTGACAACAGACGGACAGACGGACAGACGGACGGACAGACGGACAGACGGACAGACGGACAGACAGACGGAAATGGGAGACCTATTTCTTCGTCTTCTAGGGGTCATGAAAGATCGAGAAAACGTAAAAGTAGAGAGTCGGCCGACGGACTCGATTACAATACTTCCTTTGCTTACGCTCGGGAAGTAAAAATGCGTAGTTTGGATGTCTTATTTTTTCAAAATTCTATAAAACTCGATACTGGTTTGTTGTCGCGACCGAAAACCATTACCAATCGATTAGTGGCATAACTTCAGTCTATAAAGATAAATCGGACTTCCACAATTTAGACACTTGATGTTTTGAAAATTCGTCACAATTCGATCATTTCTTTTACGAACAAAAATAATCATTAATCAACTAGTTCGACTACTGTGGCAGAAAATACATTGAATTTGATATTTTGTTTTTCCAAAATTCGTCAAAATTGAAAGCTTTTTTGTTTCCTGAACCACGTTGTCATTATCAAAACTGATAGTTAGTTTTCTCTAGATAATGTCAACATGAGTGGCGAAACGCGTCGACAGTTTTTTTTGTGTTTTCCGTGTTTTGGAGAATAAACGTCACAATTGGATTAAACTTGACTCTGAAGCGTTGTCGTGACCTGAAACCATCACCAGCTGATAATTTTAGTACGGGAAAATAAATCACATTTTCTCATTTGGGTTGCTTATTTTTCAAAAATTCGTCAAAATTTACTAAAACTCGAATCTGGAGTGTTGTCGCGACCAAAAACGGCGATTAATCGACTAGAGAAATAACTTAGGTGTAAACAAGTGCACTGTACTTGCGTAGTTTGGTTGTCTTATTTTTCCAAAATTCGTCAAAATTCCATAAAACTCGATTCTGGTCTATTGTCTATTGTCGCGAAATAATTTCAGTCTATAAAGTCAATTTAGTCACAATTTAGACACTTGATTATTATCAAAATTTATCACAATTCGACAAATTTTTTTACGATCAAAACCCGTCATTAATCAATTAATTCGACAATTTTGGAAAAAATGCATTGAATTGGACATTTTGTTTTTACAAAATTCATCAAAATTTGAATCTTTTTTGTTTCGCCAACCACAGTTTTTTGTGTTTTGGGGGTTTTGGAGAATTGGATTAAACTTGACTCTGAATCAATTGTTAGTGTGATAATTTTAGTACGGGAAAATAGGCCGTATTACCACATTTGGACTGTTTATTTTTAAAAAATTTGTCAAAATTTAAAAAATTTGAACCTGGAGCCGGGAGTTTTTACGACCAGAAACCGTCATTAATTGACTAGTTTGACAATTATGAATACGTGCATTGAATTTTGGGGAATTGGACATTTTGCTTTTTCAAAATTCGTCAAAATTGGAATCTTTTTGTTTCGGTAACCACAATTTTTGTGTTTTGGGGGTTTTGGAGAATTAGAATTGGATTAAACTTGACCCTAAATCGTTGTCACGACCTGAGACCGTCACCAACTTCGTGTGATAATTTTAGTAAGGGAAAATAGGCCGTATTCCCACATTTGGACTATTTATTTTTCAAAACTTCGTCAAAATTTAGAAAATTTGAATCTGGAGCCGGGAGTTTTTACGACCAGAAATCGTCATTAATTGACTAGTTTGACAATTATCAAATAAGTGCAATGAATTTTGGCGAATTTGACATTATGCTTTTTCAAAATTCGTCAATATTGGAATCTTTTTTGTTTCGCTAAGCACAGTTTTTTTTTTTGTGTTTTGGAGATTTTGGAGAATGAACGTCAAAATTGAATTAAAGTTGACCCTGCATCGTTGTCATGGTCTGATGCCATCACCAACTGGTTGTGTGATAATTTCATTAGAGGAAAATAGGCCATATTATCACATTTGGACCGTCTATTTTTCAAAAATTCGTCAAAATTTACTAAAACTAGAATCTGGAGTGTTGTCGCCACCAAAAACCGTGACCACTCGACTTCCGGAATAACTTAGATACAAAAAAGTACACTGTACTTGCGTAGTTTGGATGTTTTATTTTTCCAAAATTCGATAAAACGCGATTTTGGTCTATTGTCGCGACCGAAAACTATTACCAATAAGATTATTGGGATCATTTCAGTCTATAAAGATAAATCGCACTTCCACAATTCGGACACTTGATTTTTTTTAAATTTGTCATAATTCTACAAACTTTGAACCGGGAGTTTTTATGTCAGAAATAGTCATTAATTCACCATTTTAACAATTTTGAAAAAAATGCACTGAATTTGAGCGAATTGGACATTTTGCTTTTCCAAACTTCGTCAGAATTGGATTTTTTTTTGTTTCGCCAACCACAGTTTTTTTGTGTTTTGGTGATTTTGGAGAAAAACTTCAGAATTGGATTAAACTTAACCGTGAATCGTTGTCCTGACCTAAAACCTTCACTAACTGATTAGTGTGATAATTTCAGTAGGGGAAATATGCCATATTGTCACATTTGGACTGTTTATTTTTCAAAAATTCGTCAAATTTTACTAAAACTCGAATCTGGAGTGTTGTCGCGACCAAAAACCGCGATTAATCGACAAGAGCAATAACTTAGGCGTAAAAAAGCGCACTGTACTTGCGTAGTTTGGTTGGATTATTTTTCCAAAATTCGTCAAAATTCCATAAAACTCGATTCTGGTCTGTTGTCGCGACCGAAAACCATTACCAATCGATTAGTGGGATAATTTCAGTTTATAAAGTCAAATGGGACTTCCACAATTTAGACACTTGATTATTTTTAAAATTCATCACAATTCGACAAAATTTTTTACGATCAAAAACCGTCATTAATCAATTAGTTCGACATTGAATTGGACATTTTGTTTTTCCAAAATCCATCACAATTGGAACCCTTTTTGAACACTCGATAATGCTATAACGTGTATTCCCCTGAAAACACCAAAAAATTGTCGACGCGTTTCACCGACCGCATTAGGATTATCTAGACTGACAGTGTACTTTTGACCACATAGTGCCAATGTGGTTGGCGAAACGCGTGAACAATTTTTATGTATTTTCGGTATTTTGGCGAATAAACGTCAAAATTGGACAAAAAAATTACTTGAATCGTTATCCTGACTGGAAACCACTAGTTAATATAGTGATAATTTTATTATGGGAAAATAAATCGCATTTCCTACACATTGGAGTATTTATTTTTCAAAAATTCGCCAAAATTCACTAAAGTAGGATATGAAAAAAAAAATAATAATAAAAAGAAAGAACAGAACATTTTCTAATATCTTTTTTATTTAAAAACTTCAATCTTAACTAAAATAATATTAAAAATCAACGCACAATTCTGGAATTTTTGGACTAGAAATTCTATAACTGCAAATATTTTTCACAATTTTATGTAAGTAGGTCGCAGACAAGACTTCATTGTAGCTTAGTAGGGCAAAAAATTATAGAATCATTTAGCAGTCTAACAATGGATATTGTTTTATGTCAAACATAATACATAGATCTACGATTTTTAGAATAATTCAAGTGGATTTCGCGTGAAGTGTGAAACCGACGTTTGCTGACAACGAAGACCACAAAAATTATATGAACGTGATTTGCTTTCGATTTTTTCGTATTTTTCCACGTTGTAGTTTATCTCGAAAAATCACCAATCAGCAAACACACGTAACCGGAAACAGAACTAATTAACGTTAGTTGCACAACGAGACCCCTGTTTCTATTGTTCGAATTTTTCCATTCGAGGAAAGCGTTGCCCCATTTTGCCAGTGACATTTGAAAAGTTCAAAGCAACAACTGCGAAATCTTCGATTCGATCAACGTCCCCTGGAGAGTCCTTTGTGTTGCCTGCGACCATCGAACGGTAAAATCGATTAGCGAAGCCCAATATCATTCACCGTAATTGCGAATTTTAGAAAGTAGCGGCAATTACCGGGTTTTAGATTATACGAATCGCTTCTAAAAGAAGATTACGCATCCAGGAAACACCCCCACAGCGTAATTAAACTATTTCTGAACCTCCTGCAATCACACGGAACGAACAATTCCACAATCCTAAAACCAGAGAGCATAAAACGTAGTTTCTAAAATAATTCCGAAGAAAGCGCCAGTTTTAATTAAGACATACAGACCTGATTTTGTGCAGGTGTACCGCTAGTAACACAGTTCACGTAACAATAGGATTTCTAAAAATATAAAATAATTATCGAATCAGCTGATGCCCTCGTACGATCGTAGTAAGATCATGCCACTTTATCAACTCACGTAGTAAAAAATAAGGTGATAAAAGTTATCTGAATAGCTGACCCGGGTCGTATGGTAATGGCCGAATTGGCGGCACTTCTATAACACTTTTTTTCCTAGGTCCGAGCTGCGTCCAGTGTTATTAAAAATTCAAATTTGGGGAAAGTTGAGTTTGTTCTCCTTAAATAAAACAGTGTTTTGATAATAACCACCGACGTAAGTATATCGTAGACACTCGCTTCACTTCCTTCTAGTTAGCACAAGACCTTCCTCCCCTAGTTCTAGTAGTGTGTCTGACCCCTGTTTGCTCAAGTACCATCACTGCACCGTCTTATTTATAATTGTAGGGGTTCTGCAGCGCCGCCCCTTTTAGCGAGGACCCCGGGCCGACAAAAATTCGCGAAGAATGCGATTACACTGTAAAAATAACCCTAGAAATGGCAAGGAGCGGCAACGCCCCACGTCCCGTAAGAGTGTACGCCGACGGCGCGTTCGATTTGTTCCATCAGGGTCATGCCAAAGTCCTCATGCAAGCAAAGCAGGCCTTTCCCAATGTCTACTTGATTGTGGGAGGTATATGTTTTTTATTGTTTTTGTTCAGGTTGAGATGCGTGCGAGATGAGGGGCGTTCATTTCGCTGTCGTACGGTGACCCGGGGTGATTTGAATTGAATCGGTGGGACGGTTTGTGTGTCACGGAGGCCATTGTCTTGTTAGAATTATGACTGGGTTTTTGAAATTTATGTTGGATGCGTGCGATTATACGGGGTTACGTAAGCAAGGGGCTGTTGTTTGCGGATAAATTGACCGCAGAAACCACAGAAGGTGGCTTTTTAGAAGGTCGTTTTCATTAGAGTCGAATCAAAGCGATAAGTGACTAAATATGGAGATTTGTGTGTACGTGGCAAGATGCACCTTGGCAAAAATTGGAATCTAAAATATTTTTGATGTTTGAAATTTTGGTGGTAATATTCCACTTGCAGTTAAAATATGACGCCTAAAGAGGTCAAAATCATTTGTATGTAGTTATTATGCTGTGACTAATGAAGTGTCACCTTGAGTGTTAAAAACGTAATTATGTAGGGTACTGTGATAACATTCTGTGCCTGAAGAACTAAAATCGGAATAATACAATTTTTCGATAAGACGATGCTCCACTTCATTAGTGTAAAATTGGTCTTAAAACAAAAATAGTGCGTTGTAATATTAGAAAATGCCACATTATACTTCATTATTTTAAATTTTGTTCACGCTGACTATTTTACGAATTTTTTTTTCGACAAGACAGTGCCCCGCTTCATAATGGAGTTGATTTAGAAAATGTTCTCAGGTCACCTGATTCCGAGATATATATATTTTTTATAAATTAGGTTTTTTATCGGAGTCATGAAATTTTATGTTTTTATAATCTAGTGTTTCCTTCCTATTAAAATATGCAATAAAAATTTACGGCTTCCATTCAAATCAAGGACACCATAAATCTGACGCCAAAAAGAAAGCATTTTAAAGTTACTTTTAGAAAAATGAAAGGAAGTTTTCGGGTTTCTTTTTTTCAAATTTTATTCCTAAATTTTTTACAGAAATTTGAAGAATTAAAAAAAAATGGTTTAAAAGAGCCCCGAACCAAATTTTTGAGAATATTAAACGTCAAAGTTGACTTCAATTTCGTAATTCTGATTTGTTTTGATGAACTGCATGTCTAATAATGGACAATTAAATAATTCGTTAGCAATAATTTAATAATAAAATAATTTGCTAGAATACGATCTGTCAGTTAAATTTTCAAAAATTTGCTTCAGGAATTTTTTCAACAATTTTTTTCTAGTTCTTGAGTGCCTTCTTAACGTACCGTCGAGCTTGTCCGTAATTTTTTTGATCACCCTGTATTTTTTATAAAAATAGTTGTTTTTTTCCGGTTCGGTCTTTTTTTTTCAAATTTCATTCCTGATTTTTTTACAGATATCATTTCTGTATATTTTACGGACACACTGTATAAAAAACAGGCATTTGAACATCTCCTTTTAAGAATCTTTCAAAATGTATACTTCAATTTTTTAAAATAGCTGGTACGTTTATGAACACTCTGTATTAAAAAAACATTCAGTTCATTTAACTAGTTTTGGTGTTGCCTAAAATCAAGAAAATGTTAATTTTAGTTTTTCAAATTTCGAAGAGAAATGTTTTTAAGATTTTTTTATCATTTCGGAATTTTCAATTTTACTGAATTTTAATCCTTCATAAATTTATAACTTTCAGAATTTGAATGCGTTATTATTTGAGATTTAATGCGATTATGCGACTGATTTTAATGTTTCCCTATACAGGGTGATCAAAAAATGACGGATAACCTCGATGGTTATTAAGAAGGCTTTGAAGAACTCGAAAAAATTGTTAAAAAGATCTCTGAAACAAATTTTTGAGGATATTTAAACGTCAAAGTTGGAAAATTAACTTCGTAATTCTGATTTGTTTTGATCGAACCCAATAGACAATTAAATAATTAGTAATTAAAAATGTAACAATAATTTGCTAGAATTTGTCATTTTTAACTGTTGACAGATGTCATTTTTGACAATTTTTACAGTGTCAATTAAGTTCAAATTCTTCGACTTTGAAGTTTAACAATTTTTTTCGAGTTCTTGAGAACCTTCTTAACGTACCGTCGAGCTTGTCCGTAATTTTTTTTATCACCCTGTATATATATTTTTTATAAAAATAGTTTTTTTTTTGTTTTTTTCGGTTCGGTTTTTTTTTCAAATTTCATTCCTGATTTTTTTTTTACAAGTCATTTCAGTATATTTTACGGACACACTATGTAAAAAAATAGGCATTTGAACATCTGCTTTTAAGAATCTTTCAAAATGTATATTTCAATTTTTTTAAATTTTTGGTACTTTTATGAACACCTGTATAAAAAAAACATTCAGTTCATTTAATTAGTTTTGGTGTTGCCTAAAATCAAGAAAATGTAAATTTTAATTTTGCAAATTTCGGAGAGAAATGCTATTAAGAATTTTTTATCGTTTCGAAATTTTCAATTTTACTGAATTTTAATCCTTCATAAATTTATAACTTTCAGAATTTTAATGCGTTATTATTTCAGATTTAATGCGATTATGCGATTGATTTTAATGTTTCCATATATAGGGTGATCAAAAAATGACGGATAAACTCGTTGGTTATTAAGAAGGCTTTGAAGAACTCGAAAAAATTGTTAAAACGATTTTTGGACCAAATTTTTGAAAATATTGAAAAATCAAAGTTGAAAAATTAACTTCGTAATTCTGGTTTGTTTTGATCGCACCCAATAGACAATTAAATAATTAGTAATAAAAAATGTAATAATAATTTGCTAGAATATGTCATTTTTTACTGTGGACAGATGTCATTTTTGACCATTTTTAGAGTGTCAGTTAAAATTCTTCGGCTTTGAAGTTTAACAATTTTTTTCGAGTTCTTGAGAGCCTTCTTAACAACGTACCGTGGAGCTTATCTGTCTTTTTTTCTCATCCTGTATATATATATATTTTTTATAAAATAGTTTTTTTTTCATTTTTTTAAATCATTTCAAAGTCCCTTTTCAAAAAACGAAATGAAACTGTGGTGTTTTTTTTTTCAAATTTCATTCCTGATTTTTAAACAATTGTCAATTTTCACGATACAGGGTGATCAAAAAATGACGGATAACCTCGATGGTACGTTGTTAAGACGGCTTTGAAAAACTCGAAAAAATGGTTAAAAACATCTCTGAACCAAATTTTTGACAATATTAAACCTCAAAGTTGAAGAATTTTGATGGACTGCGTGCCCACTACACAATTGAATAATGTAATGTAAAAAATGTTTTCAACAAGACAGTGCTTTGCTTCATTATGCCCTTGATTTTGGGGTTCCCCTATATAGGGTGATCAAAAAATGACGAATGACCTCGATGGTACGTTGTTAAGAAGGCTTTGGAGAACTCGAAAAAATGGTTAAAAAGATTTCAGAACCAAATTTTTGAGAATATGGAACGTCAAAGTTGAAAAATTAATTTCGTAACTCTGATTTGTTTTGATGGACTGCATGCCCAATAAACAATTTAATAATTAGTTATTAAAAATTTAATAATAATTTGCTAGAATATGGTCCATAACGTCATTTTTTACTGTTGACTGATGTCATGTTTTTATAAAATCGTTATTTTTTTTGCATTTCAAAATTGCTTTTCAAAAAATTGAAATGAAACTTTCGGGTTTTTTCAAATTTCATTTCTGATTTACTTAACCAATTCATTTCAGTCTATTTTTACGGACACACTGTATAAAAAGACCGCGCACTTCTATTGATCGATTTGAATGTTACGCAAAAATAAAAAAATAGGCATTTAAAGATCTGCTTTTAAGAAGCTTTCAAAATGTATATTCCATTTTTTTTAATTTCTGGTAGGTCTATGAACAGCCTGTATAAAAAGAAAACATTCAGTCCTTTTAGTTAGTTTTGGTGTTTTTTTAATCATTATTTTCGAGTTCTTGAGAGCCTTCGTAACAACGTACCGTCGAGCTTATCCGTCATTTTTTAATCACCAGGTATATATATTTTTTACAAAATAATTGTTATTGTTTTTTTTTTCGGAGCATTGAAATTTTATATCTTTATAATCTAGGATTTTCGTGTTGTTAAAATATGTAATAATAACATAGAGTTCCTATTAAAATCAATGACAATTTTTTTAAATTTCTGGTAGCTTTATAAACACCCTGTATAAGAAAACCCATTCAGTTGTTTTAATTAGTTTTGGTGTTTTTTTAATCATTATTTTCGAGTTCTTCAGAGCCTTCTTAACTACATACCGTCGAGCTTATCCGTCATTTTTTGATCACCATGTATATATATTTTTTACTAAATAGTTGTTATTTTTTTTTTCGGGGCATTGAAATTTTATATCTTTATAATTTAGTATTTTCGTGTTATTAAAATATGTAATAATAACCTAGGGTTCCCATTAAAATCAATGACTCTACAAAGAAGGCATTTCAAAGTTGATTTTCAAAAAATGAAAGAAACTTTCGGACTTTTTTTCTGAATTTTATTCCTGATTTTTTTTATATACAAATTAATCCTGTTTGTTTTTGCGGCCACACTGTATATTCAGTTCTATTAATGGATTTGTGTGTTGATGAAAAATAAAAAAATGGACATTTAATTATCCATTTAAAAAAAACTTTCAAAATGTATTTCAATTTTTTTTTTAATTTCTGGCAGGTTTGTGAACACCCTGTATAAAAGAAACATTCATTCAGAAGAAAATAAATATAATTTTCGGGGAGATTTGTTAATAAGAAATTTTTATCATTTCGAAAATGAAAAACAAAAAAATTTATAAAATCGAAACAGTGAAAAATCGAAAAATTGTAAAATACAGAAAATAAAAAACCAAAACTTCCAAATCCAAAATTTCAAGAAATAAAAAATTAAAGATCTAAAAATTGAAAATTGAAAACTCGAGAAATTTTAAATCGGAAAACTGAAGAACAAAACAAAAAACAAAAAATTATGATATCCAAACATTGAAAAATCGAGTAAGTAAAAAAACTAAGAAAATTGAAAACTGTAGAAACTCAAATCTAAAAAATGCAAAATCCAAAAATTGATAAAATTCAGAAGTAAGAAAATAGGAAAAATTGCAAATAAAAAATCTGATGTTATGAAAAATTGAAAAATCTGAAAAATTTGAAAATGAAGATGTATATCGTATAAATGAAAAAACGAATGAAAAATTAAAAAAAGTACAGATCGAAAAATTGAAGAAACGAAAAATTCAGAAAATTGAAATTGAAAGAACAAAAAAATTATAAAATCGAAACAATGAAAAATCGAAAAATTGGAAAATACAGAAAATAAAAAACCAAAACTTCCAAATCCAAAATTTCAAGAAATGAAAAATTAAGGAATCTAAAAATTGAAAATTGAAAACTCGAGGAATTTTAAATCGAAAAACTGAAGAACGAAACAAAACAAAAAATTATGATATCCAAACATTGAAAAATCGAGGAAGTAAAAAAAACTAAGAAAATTGAAAACTCTAGAAACTCAAATCTAAAAAATGCAAAATCCAAAAATTGATAAAATTCAGAAGTAAGAAAATTGGAAAAATTGCCAATAAAAAAACTGAAGTAATGAAAAATTGAAAAATCTAAAAACTGAAAAACTTGAAAATGAAAACTCGAAGAGATGTATATCGTATAAATGAAGAAACAACAAGAATGAAAAATTAACAAAAATATAAATCGAAAAATTGAAAAAAGTGAAATTGAGAGAACAAAAAATTTATAAAATCGAAACAATGAAAAAACGAAAAATTGTAAAATACAGAAAATAAAAAACCAAAACTTCCAAATCCAAAATTTCAAGAAATGAAAAATTAAAGAATCTAAAAGTTGAAAATTGAAAACTCGAGATATTTTAAATCGAAAAACTGAAGAACAAAACAAAAAACAAAAAATTATGATATCCAAACATTGAAAACTCGAGTAAGTAAAAAGACTAAGAAAATTAAAACTCTAGAAACTCAAATCTAAAAAATGTAAAATAAAAAAATGGAAAAATTCAGAAGTAAGAAAATTGAAAAAATAGCAAATAAAAAAATTGAAGTAACGAAAAATTGAAAAATCTAAAAACTGAAAAATTTGAAAATGAAAACTGGAAGAGATGTATATCGTATAAATGAAGAAACAACAAGAATGAAAAATTAAGAAAAATACAGATCGAAAAATTGAAAAAACTGAAATTCAAAGAACAAAAAATTATAAAATCGAAACAATAAAAAATCGAAAAATTGTAAAATACAGAAAATAAAAAACCAAAACATCCAAAATTTCAAGAAATGAAAAATTAAAGAATGTAAAAATTGAAAATTGAAAACTCCAGGAATTTTAAATCGAAAAACTGTAGAACAAAACAAAGAACAAAAAATTATGATATCCAAACATTGAAAAATCGAGTAAGTAAAAAAACTAAGAAAATTAAAACTCGAGAAACCCAACTCTAAAAAATGCAAAATCCAAATTTGAAAAATTGCAAATAAAAAAACTGAAAAATCTAAAAACTGAAAAATTTGAAAATGAAAAGTCGAAGAGATATATATCGTATAAATGAAGAAACAAGAATGAAAAATTAAGAAAAATACAGATCGAAAAATTGGCGAAACGAAAAATTGAAACTGAAGGAACAAAAAAATTATAAAATCGAAACAATGAACAATTGTAAAAATAAACAAGTCTTGCCTGAATGCCGGTCATTTCCGGGTCAGTGGTGGGTCTTAAAAATCTAACAATAAAAGTATATTATATGTATAAAAGAAACATTCAGTTTTTTTAATCAGTCAAAAGAAAATAAATAAGAAAATTTTTATAATTTCGAAATTTTCAAGGGAATAATTTTTAGAATTTTAATGCGTTATTATTTCAAATTAATGTAAAAATGTTTTTAACAAGACAGTGCCCCGCTTCATTATGCGATTGAAAATAGGAGAAAACATTGATTTTTTTTAATTCCTAAATTTGGAAGAAATTTTTGTTCCAAATAGCTTTTTTTTAAATTATTCGAAATTTCGCAAAATTTTGATTCGGAAGTTCTACCAAATATTTTCTGAATGTTCGATCAGAATAAAAAAAATACAAAAAAATCCACGAAATAAACTGTAAACACTTAAAACCATATTTAGCTTTTTTATCAAATAATAACAACAAACAAAACGAAAATAATTTTTTCACTTGAATTCACTCACAAAATAATCTGTATAATGTGTACGATATCATTTAATGTATTTGTTTAATTTAAACCGCAACGAAAAAAAATAATCACAGAATTAAGTGTTTTAAATGACAATTAACGATAATTCCTACGCAATTAAATTTATAAGAAGCCTAATCAAAATTCACAAATGGATGTTACCTAACACGTGATTTTTTTAATTTTATAAATGAGGGAGTGACACATGACGTCAACGTTACGTAACGGTCGAAACAAAAAAATGACGATTCAAATCACGCAATATTAAAGAAAAATATATCAGTGTCAGTTGTAAAAAAAGTTAGGATTTTTCGAAGGTGAGCCGAAAATAGTTGTTATCAAATGATAACGAGATTAGTTTTAAAAATGTTACATAATAAATGTAATATACTGATAAAGTCGGTAATGGGTCACAATTTTTTTGAAAGAAAAAATCTCGTATACATCTCAAACTTGATTGTACAGGATGCTATCTAACACAACCCCCCATCTTCGAAATGAGTTTCACAGACTACTTTACTCATTTTTAATTAACACTGTCCAGAGAGTTGTAAATTATTCTCACAAGTCGACAAACGTTCAATAAAAACAAGATACTTTCCCAGACGACGTGAATATTATTATAATATATTATAACAATTCGAAGAACCCATCGACTACAATGGGTCACGTGTCAAACGTGAGCAGCTGCTTCGACTTTCTTCTCTTCCTCTTGACGAAGTAAAAGCATTTGCTCGATTATGTTTTTAAAACTTGTGGGCACAATTTACACCCGCTAGCACCCACTCTAACACAATTCTCCCCAGTATCCAACGACGAAATGCTGCACGAGCTCAAAGGCCGCACCGTCATGACCGAGGAGGAGCGCTACAACGCAGTGCGCCACTGCAGGTACGTGGACGAAGTCCTGCGTGACGGCCCGTGGGAGTACTCGGACGAGTTCCTCGAGAAGAACAAAATCGACTTCGTGGCCCACGACGACATCCCTTACGAGGCCGAAAACACCGAGGACACCTACGGGGAGCTGAAAAAGCGAGGGATGTTTTTGGCCACTCAGAGGACCGAAGGGGTTTCCACGTCGGATATAGTGGCCAGGATAGTCCGGGATTATGATATCTACGTTCGGAGGAACTTGGCTAGGGGGTACTCAGCGAAGGAGCTCAATGTGTCGTATATCAAAGAAAAGACGCTAAAATTCCAGAACAAGATGGACGAGTTGAAGGATAAGGGGAAGAATTTTATTGATACTATAGGGGAGCGGACCGACGATATTATAATGAAGTGGAAGGACGAATCGCGCGAGTTCGTCGATAGTTTCTTGGAGTACTTTTTCAAGAAACCCATGAGGATCTGGAAGGAGTCGAAGGAGAAGTTGTTCAAGGCGCTGACTCCTCCCGGGACGCCGCATTCCGGGACGGACGACGAGGACGACAGTCCTCCAAGAAAAGTCCGACGCGTGTGCTAGTTTTATTGTTTTTATATTTTTGATATTTATTAAGCTGTACTTAATAGCGTTGACTGTAGTAATTATTTTAATAAATGTTAACGAAAAGAGTTCGTTTTGATTGAATCCGGCGGCCATTTGTCAAAATTTAGTGGCATGATCGCGATTCCAATTACTTAATTCAATGGAGGCTATAAATGCCGCTACCGTTAAGTACTGTCAAGTTCTGTTAGTGAGTGCATCGGTACCACAATGCCAAGGAAACTCCTCCAAACGAAAAAGGTTAAAAGAACACACATTCTATTCTTAGATGTTTACCGAGCGCAATCACCTTCTTGTGAACCGTGCTATCCAGGCCGATAACTGAAAACTGTTTGTGGCGATCAGCGTGGAAGATTTAGAAGTTGCTAATTTTTCGATAAGTGGACGATGAGGCAATTTTCTAACGTTTTGTTTTCTTTTTTCCAGTCGATCTGTAGTCCGGCACCATTCAGCGATGAACCGGAAGCCGTTCGGATTAGAGAAATGTGCGATTACTCTCAGCGGATAACCTATGAAATGGCCTACAGCGGTAAAGCGCCGCGTCCGGTCAGGGTATATGCCGATGGAATTTACGATCTGTTTCACCAAGGACACGCCAGGCAACTCTTGCAGGCCAAAAACGTTTTTCCTAATGTCTACCTCATTGTCGGAGGTAATTGGTTCGTTATCTTTGTGTGTTTTAGGGTATTTACTAGTGCTGATAATGACGCTTTGCGATAGGTTATCATGGGTGCTAAAGTTTCATACTGCGGAAAGAAGCTAAAACCAGTTAGTTTTGACAATAAACATTATCACTTAACGAATAAGTGGCCTACATGGTACTTAAAATGCAGCTACGTGGATAAGAGCTAACACAAAACACGTTGTTATCCCCGCAACATAATTTAGAAAATTCTTAGGCAAACATGTTTATAGTCCTGAAGTAACGTGGTATCACTCAGAATTGTCACACAACCGTTGAGCAGAAATAACTCTTCACGTAGTCCAAACAATCCGATGATAAATGGAATTTCAATCGCCAAATTTTTAAATTCTCACTCACCCTGTATTTTTATTAGTACCGTATCTTACTCCGTTTTTGTTCGTGTTCTTCTAATGTGTCTTTTAAAAAAGTAACTTATAATTAACTTTAAATTTCGAAAATAGAAAAATTCAAATATAGAAGAACTGAAAACTCGAGAAGTCGAAAAACTTACAATTTTAAAAATCGAAAACTTAAAATATCGAAAAGTTGAAAGATTGTGAAAACCGAAAGTTCAAAAAACGAAAAATTGAAAATCCAAAAAGTCAAAAAGCCGAGAAATCGAAAAATCCAGAACGTGAAAAATCCAAAAGTCGAAATACTAAAAAATCCCAAAATTGAAAAATCGAAGAATCGAAAAACTGAGAAAACTCAAATTGAACGAAATATCCAAAAATTTGTACAAGGAAATATCGATTTTGCAGTCAGACTCCGCCCCATAATTGCAAAATCCATATTTCCTTGCAAATATGTACCATTTTGACCATGTTTTCAGTTTCTTGTTGCGAAAAAATGCCTATGTATGTTAAGAAAAAAAAACAAAAAATATAGGCCCCGCCCACCCACCCTACCTCAATTGTGATTATTTTTTTATTCGTCGTGAGCCAAGAGGGCGGAGCTTAATTGCAAAATCCTTATTTCTCTACAAGAAATGAAACACTTGTGTACGTCTTCCACGTACACCAAGCAAAAATCAAGATACCCACGTACAATAAAAACAACTTATTAAGCTCAATCCATTCCTAAAGTCAATATAATGTCTAATAGTAGTCGCGAAAAGTAAAAAAAAAATTAGAACCTCTGGAATATTGAGAGTCAAAATATCGGGAATTTTTTGGATTTTTGTAATCTTTGGAATCTCTGGAGTCTCGGAATGTCCAGAATTTTCTGGAACCTATTTATAATCTTTAGAATCTTGACAATCTTCAGATTCTTCAGAAGTTTTGATATTTTCCCTTACATCTTTAGAATTTTTAGGACCTTCAGTTTTCGAAACATTGGAAAAATTCAAAATCTGTAGAATCCCTAAAATCTAAAATTTCTCTAAAATCTAAAATCGCTCTATAGTCCATAGAATCTGTAGATTACTTACCTAGAATCTAGATTCGTTAGAATCTCCAAAATTTGTAGAATCTATATAATCTTCAGAATATTTAGAGTTTCTGGGATTTATTGTATAGAAATTTCCGGAATTTTTGGAATTTGTGGAATCTCTAGAATCTTTGAAATCTTTAGAATATCCGGGAATCTTCAAAATCTCCATATTATTCTTTGGAATATGCAGAATCTTTGTAATTACTGGAATTTCTGACACTTCTGGAATCTTTTAAAATCTTTGGAATCTTCAAAATGTTTGAAGTCTTCTCTGGAATCTTTAGTCTCGGAATTTCCGTAATTTTTTAATTTTATGGAATCTCGGGAAGCTTCAGAATTTTAGTGATCTTCAGTTTTGGAATTATTCAAAATCTTCATATTCTTTAGAATCTCTAAAATTTCACCGGTTTCAGAATATCTAAATTTTTGAGATTACTAGAATTTCTGAAACATTCGGAATTTTTTGAAATCATTAGAATGTTTATTTCTTCAAAATCTTCGACTCCTCGAAGTCTTAAAAATTTTTGGAATATTTAGTCTTCGAAATCTTCAGAATTTCTAGAATCGCTGGAAACTTTGAAACCTTTGGAATATTTATAATTCTGAGAATCTTCAGTCTTCAGAATTTTTGTGATCTTCAGCCTTTGAAATATTCAAAATTATAAAATAGAAATACTGAAGAACTGGAAAACCAAAAAATCCAGAAATCGAAAAATCTAAAATTTAAAACATTGAACAATTGAAATATCGCAAAATTGAAAAATGGAGAAATCCAAACATCAAAGAATAAAAAAAAAAATCGAAAATCTAAAACTTAAAAATAGAAAAACTGAAAAATCGACAAATCGAAACTCCAGAATTTAAAAAAATTGAAAAATCGGATAACTGAAAAATCGAAACATCGAAAAATTGAAAAATCGGAAAACCGAGAAATCCAAAAATCGAAACATCGAGAAATTGAGAAATTGAGCAATCAAAATATCCAAACATCTGAATTCGATAAATCGACGAATTGGAATCGATTGGCCTGAAAATTTGAAAAATTGAATAAACGAAAAATTGGAAAATCGAAAGAAACAACAACAATTACGGAAATGAAGAAACAAAAAATTGTGATGTAAAATCGAGAAAATGAAAAATGAAAAGCCAGGAAAATGCTAATTCAAAATCGGGGAGTTGGAAAATTGAGGGGACGGAAAATTGAAAAAGGGCACAATTAACAATCGAGAATGTGAAAAATGGAAAAATGAGAAATTGTAATATTGAAAAATTCGAAAATTTGGAAGTCGACAAATTGTAAAATTGAAAAATCAAAAATAAAAAAACGAAAAAGTGTATAATTAAAACCTAAAAAATGTACAAAGTGAAAATCAAACTTGAAAATTTGAAGAAAAATTGCTAAAAACCTGAAAATTTGAAAAATTTAATAAAGGAAAAATTGTAAGATCGAAAGAAACAACAAAAAATAAAGGAAATCAAAAAACAACAAAAAATTGGAAAAGGGAAAAATGAAAAATTGAGAAACTGAAAAATCGAAAAACGAAAATCTGTAACATTGAAAAATTGCCAAATTGAAAAACTGATGGAAACCGAAAAATTGAAAATTTTGGAAGTCGAGGAATTGTAAAATTGAAAATTCAAAAGTAAAAAATGAAAAATTACAAAATGAAAACTTGAAAAATCTTAAGAGTCGAAAAAGTGAAAAATCAAAAAAAAAATATGTATTATGAAATAGAAATATTTAAAATTAAAGAAATTGGAAAATCGGAAGACTGGAAATCCAAAAACTGCAAAGTAAAAATTGAAAAATGGACGAACTGAAAATTCAAAGCCTGAAAATTTGAAAAATTGAAGAATCGAAAAACAGAAAACTCACAAAATTGAACGAATATCCAAAAATTGGGAAATCAAAAAATTGAAAAATTGGGAAATCGAAAAGCCGAAAAATTGCAAACCTAAAGAATCGAAAAATTGAAAAATCTGGAGCCTGAAAAATCGAAAACTTGAGGAACTGAAAAACTGAAAAATCGAAACCTCCGCAAGTCGAAAATGGGAAAACTAAAAAATAGATCAATTCAGAGATCGGAAAACTGAAAATTCAGAAACGTCAAAACTTGAAAATTAAAAAAATTGGAAAATTGAAAAACCGAAAAGTAAAAAAACGAAAAACTGATAAATCGAAACATCGAAAAATTCACAAATCGAAATGTATATAAAACAGTCGAAAATTGAAAAATCTAAAGTTTAAAAAACGAAAAACTGAAGAATTGAAGAAGTGAAAAATCGAAACTGCGAATTCGAGAAACGGTAAAATAAAAAAAAATATATATTAATCGAAAAATCGGAAAACTGAAAATTTAGCAACGTCAAAATTTTAAAAACTGTAGAATAGAAATACTGGAGAATTGAAAAATCAAAAAATTCAGAAATCGAAAAATTTAAAATTACATTTTGTCTTTTTGTAATAATATGTGTAGACTTTTCACAACATAAAACTTAAAACATGTTTAAAACGGAAAATTTGTACAAGGAAATATCGATTTTGCAGTCAGACTCCGCCCCATAATTGCAAAATCCATATTTCTTTGCAAAAATGTACCATTTTGCCCATGTTTTCAGTTTCTTGTTGCGAAAAAATGCCTATGTATATTAAGAAAAAAAAAAAAAACAAAAAATATAGGCCCCTCCCACCTACCCTATTTCAATTGTGATGATTTTTTTACTCGTCGTGAGCCAAAATCCTTATTTCTCTACAAGAAATGAAACACTTGTGTACGTCTTCCACGTACACCAAGTAAAAATCAAGATAGCCACGTACAATAAAAACAACTTCCACTCTGACAAAAAGTCCATTTTTAAAATAAGCTCAATCCATTCCTAAAGTCAATATAATGTCTAATAGTAGTCGCGAGAAGTAAAAAAAAATTTAGAACCTCTCGAATATTGAGAGTCAGAATATCCGAAATTTTTTGGATTTTTGTAATCTTTGGAATCTTGACAATCTTCAAATTCTTCAGAAGTTTTGATATTTTTCCTTATAATCTTTAGAGTTTTTAGGACCTTCAGTTTTCGAAACATTGGAAAAATTCAAAATCTGTAGAATCCCTAAAATCTAAAATTGCTCTATAGTCCATAGAATCTGTAGATTACTTACCTAGAATCTAGATTCGTTAGAATCTCCAAGATCGGTAGAATCTATATAGTCTTCAGAATATTTAGAGTTTCTGGGATTTATTGCATAGAAATTTCCGGAATTTTTGGAATTTGTGGAATCTCTAGAATCTTTGAAATCTTTAGAGTATCCGGGAATCTTCAAAATCTCCGTATTATTCTTTGGAATATGCAGAATCTTTGGAATCACTGGAATTTCTGACACTTTTGGAATCTTTTAAAATCTTTGGAATCTTCAAAACGTTTGAAGTCTTCTCTGGAACTTTAGTCTCGGAATTTCCGTATTTTTTTAATTTTATGGAATCTCGGGAAGCTTCAGAATTTTAGTGATCTTCAGTTTTGGAATTATTCAAAATCTTCATATT